CTGGGACTGTGCTTCTTGTTCTTATCCCTGGGCCGCCGTGGTGGGCGGGATGCAACCAGCGGCAGGGGGAGTGTCCCCAGAGATTGCCCTTCCACCGGTTAGGTGGGTGGGCCACCAACCCACGACCCCTGCCCCGCCGGGGCTGGGTCCGTCTGTGCTGCAGGGTGGGGGAAGAAGTGAAGAGAGGCATGGCGTTTTGAAGCTGACTCCTGCTCTTCTTGCAGGCCTTCTGGTTGCCCACCATTGATGACTGACCCTGGTGCTGCTCGGCTATTTCTGTGCAGTGAGGGCGGCCAGCAGGAAAAAACTCAGAGAGGACTGAGATCATACTGGGATTGGATTGTTTTACTGGTCTGGAGACCATCCTTCCACACAGCCTTCCCATGGATGTACTGTATATCTGCTCAAGAGAAAAAAACCGCTTTGCCGAGCTGCTTTCACAGGACTCTCGGTGCAGCAGATGCCGTCGGGGCTGATTCTCCAGCTGTCGCTGCCCTGACCTCCACCAGAGGAGTGGCCAGACCCACAACTAGGGAATAGTGGGGCCCTCAAGACGCCTCCAGTCTGGAATGTGTTTGCTGCTGAGTTGCTGGTGAAGTTTATTCTGCACACCCCCTTCTCCCACCCCGTGATGCATGGGAAGCCTGTGCTCTGGTTTCGAGATGCTAGGGCAGCTCAGTGCCCCTTGCCCTTACCCTGCATGTCTTGTGACTGGGTCTCCCTGGGTCATTGTGGCATTATTCCACAACCATCATGTTAATTAGGTGCCAAACATTTACAGAAGTAAGTCTTCATATATCTTGGGGTCAGAAAGGGACAGAGACAGAAGGACCTTGCTTGCCAGGAAGCCTTGCAGGTTAGTTGGGTGAGGGTGGGTGATCTGGGCATGCTTCAGGCTCCGGGCGTTAGGTGGGAAAAGGCCCAAGAGCCTGAAAGAGGGAGGGAGGGGTAGCGGGTGAGTCCCTAGGGCTGGGAGGTTGAGCAGCAGTTTGATGTGGGCTCCATCAAGACAAACCCGTGGTCCTTCTGGGTGCCTACCGAGCTTGGTTGTGTACAAAAGCAAGGTGGGAGTTTATTTTTGTATATGAGATACATCACGCTTACCTGTGGGCCTGTATTGTGGAGTGAGTCTGAGTTGTTTACACTGATACGCCTTCCCTGCCCACCACAAATCGTGTACATAGTCTCCAGATGATTCCCCAGCTCCCAATCAAGAGCTGATCCTAGGCCTGTGTTATATGTTATATTCAGCCTTTTTATATATGACCTGGGTTTCTGTTGTATTTTAGCACAGTGTGTACACCTTCATTTAAATATATTGTATGTGCATACATCTACACATACAAGTATGTATGCATATGTATATATATACATCTGTCGTTTCCCAGAGCTCAGCCCAAGGAGGCGGAGCCCTGCGGCCCAGGAGGAGGGGTGCTTCCGTGCGAATAGTGTTCGCCGCAGGTGTTAGCAAGTCTTCGGATTCCTCGTTTTCCTTTGGGAAACTGAATGAAGCAAAGCTTCCAGTGTTTGCTCTTCCTATGGCAGCTAAGTGAGGGTCTCGGGAGGACTTCCTTGTGCTCTTCAGGCTGCACTTTGGGGCCCTTTCTGCAGTATTAGCTCCCTTTTGCCCGGTTGATGCTCTGTCTACACCTGTATGTGTGACAGTCACTTTTGCATGCCTTTGTGTCTGGCTTCCAGCATTTGGGGAACAAGGTGCTGGAACCAGAACATTTTCAGTTTGTCAAATGAGGCTTCTTTGCCAATTACAGGTCACTCCTGTTAACCTAATACATCTGCTTTCTTGCTGCTTTTCCTTACCTTCTCTTGGGAGAGGGAGGGGTCCTGATCAACATTGAGATGAGCTGCGGCTGGCTCATGGCTTTTTCTTCCCCTGCATGGCCTTTGAGCAGGACAAGTGGTGTGTTAACTTCACTTATTTCCCAAATATTTAAACAGGTAACATTCCCTGCAGATCCAGAAAAAGGCCCAACAAGGTTATGACTTGCCCATGAGTACTTACCAGCTAGAGGTAAAAGCAAGCCATTACTGTCTCTGTTCACAGTAGGAATTGCCAGCAGTTACTTTGGTTGTGTTGTTTTATTAGCAGTTATTTTTTGACTTGTTGCCCGAACTTAAAGGGCAAGGGGCTGACCTATTTCCCAGGAGACCGGGATCTGCAGCTTCTGCCATGCTGCCCACTGTGTAGCTCTGCCTTCCCAGCAGAGGGACTTCAGAAACCAAGATTGGAACTTTCACTGTCTACTTCTGGCTTTCCAGGGTAGAAAACCCATGGTAGGAGTACCTGTTTAGAGTGCTAGGAACGGTGAGCTTAACAAGAAAGGCTGCATAACTCACATCTGCAACCAGAGCATAGCAGGCTTGCCTGTCAGCAAGGAAAATGATTTATACTGAGTTCCTGTGGCCAAAGTGAGGCACCATCCTTTGAAAATACACATTGTGTGCCCTTTGTTTATAGGGACCTGTGGCTGCACAGCTGGCTCCTGGGTCAGGAAGCAAAGGGAAAAATATAGCTGGAAGTGATGCGGTGAGGTGGTGGGGACAGGGCAGAATGACGGGCGAAGGGGCTGTACAGGTTCTCTGGGAGCCAGAGGCGCTTAGGCCCTTCTCAGTGGGGAGGCCCAAAGCCACCGATTTGTGACAGTGATATTGCACTGCTCAACCACCAGCCAGTGATTTTTTTTTTTTCCAAAGAAAAAATCTCCCCTGTTGCAATCATAATGCTTATTAAGTAAAATTTGGGAGTTTAAAATGTTTGCCACCCAAATGCTACCACTGTTGATCTTTTCGTGTTAAATGTTCCTCTAGAAATTTCTGTGCATAGATTTTTGGTGTTTATGTAGTCATTCTACTGTATATACAATTTTATGTCCCTTTTGTACTTAACATATAAACATTTTTTCCATGTTGTCTGTCTGAAACAGAATTTTATGGCTGCAGCCTCTTCCATGGGGTTTCCGTAGCACTGTTGGCTTGGCGCCTGGAGGCTGGGAGGGATGGTTGTCTCCAGCTAGCGGTCCTGGTCCCTGCTGGCATTCACTGTGATGCTGTGTGGATGGATCTTTGGGCTCCCTGGGCCTGCCCTGGTGCCTGAAGCCTGTGGGCTGGTGGGAGGAACTGCTAGACCTAGCCCTCAGTGCACAGCAGCCTGGGTCTCCGCAGCCCCAGGCTCTAATGGGCAGCCGTACAGGCAGAAATGTGACTGGCCCAAGCCAACCTTGATTTTAAACACTACATCTGGCATGTAGCTCAGGCTGCCTTTCTTCCCTGACTTACCTCAAGCCCTTGATCAGATTGGCAGCCTCTATAGCTGGAATAAGGTTTCATCCTGTCAGGCCCTGGCTTCTGGGGACAAGGATGGGGGTCTTTTGGAGACTGCTGCACCAGTTCTGGCAGAAGGCATGGCCAGTTGCTTGGTGACTCACACTGCCTGGCTGGTAAGGTGGCAACTCCTAGAGCGTGCGTTCTGCTCAGCATCCTCAGCGGCGGGACCTGCTGCCTGCCTCTTGCCTGGCCCTCCCTGAACCAGAGGACACAGCCTGGGGTCTGCTTCTTTATCCTGGGTCCTGGGAGTTTGGCAGAGGGCTTGGAGAGGCAGCAGAGGGAACATCCCAGCTTGCGAGTGGAAGGCCACGCCTAGGCCCTCCTGACGAAACTGCTTGAGGAGGAAGAGAGCCATCGTGGCCTGGGGGGGAGGACTGCTGCATTTGACTCCAGGATCAGTGGGGCTGTCCCTGCAGCAATCAGTCCTGTGGGTTTAGCTTGCTTGCCATTGAGAGACCTGCTGCACCCACTCCCTGGGCTTCAGCTTGTGTGAGGAGAAAGTACAGGCAGTGGTAGGAACCAAAGCAATCTGGCTGTGGGGGCGAGCTATCTGGCTCAGCCCCCACAGTTGAGGCGGGTGAGAGGCGGGCACAGGACGCTGCCCATGCTTTGCTGGTGGCACGGGACTGCTGAGGAAGAGCAAGTACAGTTCCTGTAGGCTGGCAGGGGAGACCCTGCACTCGCCAGCCACCTTACCAGAGGAGTTGAAAGGCTACCTGGGGCTTCTGGGGCCAACCAGTTGGTCAGGACCCAGCTGTGAACAGAAGTAGGCCCAGAACTACTGGACTGTGACTATGTGAAAAAAATTTTGTGGTTTTTCCTTCCACTTCCCTGGAGGATGGACAGGAAATGGAATCTAAATGACTTACGGGCAGGAAGGGGGTTTGAGCCGCCCCACTGAATTAAATACAGGCATTTTACCCTCATTTCTGGGGTCTCTCCTCCCTGCTTATAGTCCAGGGCTATGAGTTGCCTGATAAGAATTCATCTCAACTGTAAACTAAAATAGGCATGGGTCTGGGGAGGCTGAGGTCATGAAGGTAGCTGCCTCATAGTTCAACACCTATTTGCCAAACACCTGGGCTGAGGCGTTGGGAGGTGAGGAAGTCGCTGCTCATCAAGCCCTGGAGCCCCAGCAGGGCCCCAGCGGGCTGTCTCCGGCCAAGTCTAGCTCTACTGCACCCAAAACATAGGTTAGAGGCACCCCTCCTGCAGCATCAAGCCTGGACCTCGCAGACGGTGGGGGAGACCTCCTTCGCATTCCCTGGCCTGCACCTCTCACTGGGCTCACCCCACACTGGGAATGGGCGAGGCCACAGAGGAAACTGCCCTGACTAGAGGCAAACCTGCAAGGTGGAGCCAAGAGTGCTTGGAAGGGAACGAAAAGCAAAAGGTGGTGTATGGCGCAGGCCGTACAGCAGTTTGCAGGTCGTGAGGGCTCTTCTGCACACAAACCTTTAATGACAGGAAAGTGATGAGGACAATCAAAGGCACGGTTGGGCATCAGCACAGGGCAGGGCGGGGGCCCAGGAGGAGCAGGGATCTGGAGGGCATGCCCTCCTCAGCTAGCGCTGGGGCTCCTCGCGCCTCGGTTCTCCACGTTCCGCCCCGGAGCTGTGCCTTGCCCGCACAGGGAGCAGGGTAGGACCTGAGCTGGTCTCCCCAGAGGCTGTTGCAGGATGGCTTGGCAGCTCCAAGGCTGCCCACAGCTGCCCACAAAGTGCCGTGTGTGGGCTTCGGGGGATGCTGAGTAGGTGTCCTGACAGATTGGCCGCCTGCACCCAGACAGGCTGGCTGCCCCTCCTGGCATCCTTGCCCAGTGCCCTCAGTCCGCTGTCCCCATCTGGGAATGGGCAGTTAAGGATCCTATCTGAGGAGCTTCGTGTGGGTTTCCTAATTGGACGGTATCTGCCAGAGGGATGTTATCTTTGACACTAGCATTCCTTCCCTGCCTGCCTCTCCATGCTCCTTCAGCTGTAATAGCCTGGTAATAACTGCTCCCATGGAAAGGGACTGGGGTGCAGGTGAGGGTCCCAGGCTGTGTCTGGGGGCAGAGCAGGAAGGCCTGCTGCTACCCAGTGGAGGGATGCCCAGACTGCTACCGGCCCTGGAGTGGTCCTGAGACGCAGTGTCTGAATCTTCAGCGGCTACTTCTCCCTTGGCTCTGTCTGCACAAGGGAATCACGAACACAGAGATGTCGTCATAGGACACCTGCCCTTCCCCTGTTGGACCGTCGTCCTTCCCCTGTGTGCTGTGGATCAGCATTTTGGCCAGTTCTGAGAACCTGTGGGGACCATCCTGCAGATGCACTTCTGGGCCAGAGCAAAGAGGCAAGGCCATACCTTGAAAAGCTTGCTACACAGGGCTGAACACTTGGGGACCCGAGCAACGCAGTCCGGTTAGGGCCAGGCAAGCTGCAAGCCGGAGAGGACCCACAGCCACCCTCTGGAAGCCCGAGACAGCCCCGTCCTGGCCGCCCGCCTGTCATCAGTGCTGTCCCGCAGCTGTAACTACTTGGGTGTTTCCGCTAGCTCCAACCCAGGCCCAAGCCAGGCCCTGGCAGCCCCAGTACCTGTGTGGGTCCTCTCGGTTACCAGGGAGGAAGCTCCGTACCAGCCGTGCCACCTGCTCATTGGACAGGACGTCCCAGAGCCCATCAGTTGCCATAACAACCACATCCTCCTCCTGCAGCTCCAGCTGGTCCATATCCAGCACAGTCACCTGCAAGTTAAGCCGGGATCCCTCAGCGCCCCTTGGCCCCCGCCAGCCTCACCGTCTGCCTTTCTGGGAAGATGGAAGCTGCGGTGGGCTCTTGCCCCCTCACCTGTGGGACAGAGAGCAAGAAGGGCTTGAGCTGAATGTTTGTGTCCAGGACTCTGAGCTGATGGTCTCCCAGGCCCCTGGAGACAGCCAGTGTTCCCAGTAATCGAGCCTGGGGAGAAGGAAGTGTGAGGTGACAGCAGATGCACAGGAAGGCACACAGGTGGACCGTGGCCCCTTGGGTACCCCGGGCTGAGGAAGAAATATCCTAAAGCCTTGGAGCAGACCCTGTGACCCCAGCCACAGCCCCCAGCAAGGGACAGCAGAGTTCCCAGCTCTGCAGGGGGCAGTTTAAGAGGGATTCTTGGAGGGGGCCATTCACTGACCTGTCTACCCTGTCCATGGATCAGTGGGTACTTGAGATCCGACTTCTCCACACACTTGTAGCTCCTACCAGGAGCAGACCCGGCATCAGCCACCTCATCTCTCCACAACACAGGGCCTACCCTGCCCAGGTGGAAGGGGGCTGCCCCAGGGCTGCCCTACTGTGTCCTCCAACCCCACCTCGCTCACCAGCCACTCATGTGGTGATCCCTGAACAAAACCTTCTGCCCCAAGTCGTCCCCCTTCAGTCGCCGAGGGAACTCCAGTCGAGTGAACTCACCAGCCAGAAGCTCGGGGTAGACAAAGGCCTGGGGGTAGGGAGGCCATGCTCAGATCAGGCTCCCCCTGGTGGCCTCTGGCCTCCCCCTGCCAGGGGCACCTACCAGCTGCTGGATCCTCTGCCGCTCTGTCTCTGGGGTGAACTCAGAACTCAGGGGCTGGACCTCATCCCTCCGTACCAAGATGGCCCTACAAAAGGGCAGGAGGAGAGAGAGAGGTCTGTGGGGCAGCCTCCACCCTCACCCAGGGCCTCCCTCCTGCTGCCTCCTCTTCCAGCCCCCAGGAGCCAGTTCTGCCTATGCCAGTTCCTTGCCCAAAGCCCTCCACGACTGCTTATGGCTGGCAGGATAACAACGCTGGGCCTGGCACCTGCTGTCCACCCCCTGCTCTCCACATGGCAGGTGCACAACTCAGCCAGTCAGTCCTCCATTGCCGTCCCTCCACTCCAGCCCCCTTTCACTGTCCCCACTGTCCATCCCCCTCCAGGGCTCACTCACCTGCTATCCCCGGCGTTGGCCACATACAGCTTTCCCTGCAAGGACACAGCCACCAGGGCTGTGCAGCCACCCACCTGGCCTGAGGCCTCCAGCTCCCGCCCGATCACCTCATCCTGGGGCAAACCGAGACTGCTTTAACTGCTGCTTGTACTGCCACCATACCACTCTGTCCCCAATCCCCACCCGTCACTTCACTTCCCCACCAGCAAGCCTGCCAGTTCTGGCCCAAAGTCTAGCTATGACTCCAGGATCCCTGTGGTCGGGAGCTGGGTGGCCTCTCGGGAGGGAGGGAAGTCCTACTGAAAACTGAGGAAGGGAAACCAGTCTTGCACAAAGGATGACTGGGGTGTGCAACAAGATGATGCAGGTAAAGAATCTAGAACACAGAAGGCGCTGGATAAAGGGGAGGAATTAGGGTGACCGTGATGGTCAGTACCAAACAAACCAGTCATGTCCTCCCAATCCAAAGATACAGGGTGACCACTACCATGTGCAAGGATGCCCCACCCCACAGGGTCCCTCAGGTCCCCGGGCCAAACCATTCCCCTTCCCCAGCCAAAGGCCACACTCACACATTCCTGGAAGGCGCTCTCCAGAGCCCCGATTACCAAGTCTTCTGCCCTAATGCCCTTTTCTTCCACAAACTGGGGGTCACTGGGGCAGACACAGTGGCCGCTGAGGTGCATGGGGGGCTGCATGGCCACCATGCCCTCCACCACAGCCTCCAGCTGCCGGCGCAGGCAGGAATGCAAGGTGTTGGCAGCCAGGATAGCTGCAGCTGGACCACCATGCCCATCAAACAGTGCCCAGTAATGGCCTGTGAGGAACTGCACAGGAAGGGCCTGGTGTCAGGTTCAGCCTGGCTTCCTCAGCCGTCCCCCAGCCAGGCAGGTGGCACTAAAGGCAGGAACTCCAGCGTGCAGTCTTGGCCCCAGTCCCGGCCCCGGCCCGCAAGGGGGCTCAGGCCAGTGGTGCTCACCTCCTCTGGGCACAAGTTCAGCCATTCCTGATTCTCTTCAGTCCCGAGCTCACATCTACCGATGCACAGCTGTCCACAGGCTGCCTGATCCTCATTGAACTCAGATTTCTCTGCATTGATGATCCTGAGGTTGGGAAGTGATCAGTGACTCTGGGGACCCACCCATGTCGATATGGGCAGAGACCCAGCTGATACACAGGGGAGGAGCCCTTCTTCTGGAACTACCCCCACGCTGTCCTTGACACACACCTGCACAAACGTGGTGCTACGTTTCCTAACTGTTCAGTGACCTTAGGGCTGAGGCCAGGCCCGGCCCCTCTGGAGCCTACCTGTGGGCTGGGCCGCCTAGGGAGATCCGGGGCTCCCTCGCCTATCTGCCGCCCTAGCTCAGCCAGAATCTCCGTCCCATACAGCGTAGGCCACAACCCAGGGGGAGACTGGGGTAGGAGTGGGGAGGTTATCTCCGAAGGCCACGACTCAGATTCTCCCGTGACCCCTGCCCCATCTTGGGAGCAGCAGGGGTTCAGGTCGTTCCAGGCAACCCTCTGGGGGAGGCTGGAGTCCCAAAGAAAAGGCTGAGGTGGGACGGGGGACGATGTCAGGAGTCCGCTGGCAGGACAGTGGGAGCCTTCCACAAGTTGGGGTCGGGGGTCCCCCCACTCGGCTCAGCCTGGGTTAAGGCAGCCCAGGGCCCCAGGCGGGCTCGGCAGAGGTCCGGGCCGGGGCTCCGGGGCGGGGGTCGCCTGGGGAGGGCACTCACTCGGCGTAGCCTGCGTTCCAGGGCAGCGCGCGGCCCCGGGCTGGGCTGCGCACGGGCCGAACGTCCGGACGGCGCGAGGCGTCGGCGGCGCCGGGGCCCGAGCCCGAGCCGCGCAGGAAGCGGGGCCGCCGGTAGGGCACGGGGCTGGCGCGCGGTCGGGGCGTCCGGGACGCGGGGAGCGGGACCCCGGGCAAGAAGCGGCGCCGGAACCAACCGGCGGACATGACTGGGTGGCGCGGGGCCGGCGCGGGGCCCGGGCGGGAAAGGAAGCGGGCCGGGGGCGGGCCGGGGGCAGGAAACGGGCCGCAGGCTGGGGGCGGGGCCGAGGCCGGAAGCGAGCGGGGGGCGGGGCGGCGACGCCCCCGAACCCCAACTTCCCGCACCGAGTGTGGGGGCAGTCTGGGTGCCGTCCGGCTTGACAGGCTTCATAACAACCCTAACCAAACGCCGTTTCACCCCCACTTTTCAGGCAAGATAATTGAGGCCTAGAGAAGCCAAGACGCTGGCCCCGTAACACGCAGGAACCCGAGGAGGCTGAATGTTCATCCACGGAGGTGGAGCGCGAGGCTTGCAGCGGGGAAAATCTGCCCTCCTGGCCCCCGCACCCAACGAGGCCACAGGGGTCGCTCAGAGCACACCCCGGGCCTCCAGGCTGGGTCAGGGACCTGGGCCTCCTGCTCCTGGCCCAACCTTACGCAAGGACAAGCCGGGGACAGGATGTCCTTGGAGGTGTCAGACTGACACACTGAATAAGAATCTCAGAGCACGGTGTTCCCTCGGGTGGCCTCCGTTCCTCACCCACACGGCCTGGCACCCCTCCTCCCTAGATGGGGCTGGGGCTTGGAGGCCACCCTGGCTTCCTCATCCCCAGATATGGCTGCCTGCCTTTGGGGCCAGTCTCTCAAACGGCTGCCACTCCATAAAGTTCTCTCTGGACAAACAGCAGGATCCTCACCAGGGTGAGTTACTGATGGACAGGAGGAACCCCTGGTCCCCAAAGGGCTCTAGCAGGTCAGAGTTCAGACCTGATGCTGAGGGTGGTGAAGGGCTGCCATCTGTGCTGGAGGTCAGAGGCTGCAGTCTCTCAAGCCCCTGGCTGGCTGTCAGGGGAGTGGTGGGAAGGGGGGTGTCAGTGGCAATGTGCCCCCTCACATCTGCACATTAACAGGGTGCTTTGTCACCCTTCTGTCACTTCAGCCCAGTGCCCCTGTGTGCTCCTGTGATTTCCATCTCATCTCCTAACAAGGACTCTGAAGCCACAGAGGGGAAGTACCCTGATGCCCAGGGTTGTGCTGTTTCCATTATGATGATGCAGCTGACAAACCCCCGACCCCACACCCACACACACACACACAGTGCATTTCTCTTCCCCTTTCCTCCTCCAGGAAGACAGACTTGGCAACTCCAAGTCCCTGAGGCTCCTGGTCCAGTGCCCCCTGGAAGGGGTCTACAGAAGAGGTCCCTCCCTCTGCCTTGCTCCAAAGCCCAGTGCATGTTCAACTAGGCCATACTTCTTTGGGTGGCCAGCCCTGCCCCACTGGGAGTTCCCTCTGCCCAAGGGGGAATGTTCTTGGGGTGTCCAGCACCCCTTGCCAGATGACTCAGCTCCAGAGCAGCCTGGGAGCTGATTTCTGGTCTGAGCCAGTCCCTGTGCTGGGTGCACCTCACTAATGGGGTGGGCTCCCCTGTGGTGATAGTGGAAGTCCTGGTGGACAGAGCTGGGTGGCTGGAAGGGGTGGGGGCAGAGTCAGAGAAAACTTCCCAAAGGACACCTGAGCTATGAACTGTCACTGTGACAAAAATGGACCAGGTACCCAGGGTGAGGCAGACCCAATTCAGTCTGTGGGGTCACCTCCTCAGACACGCAGCCAATGGCTCAGAGGCTTTTAATGTTTAAAGTAGAGGAAACAATGTAAACACAGTCTGTTTTCCCAACCCACTGCTTGAACGTCGCTGGATGGGTTGGAGTTCCTGTTTTCTAAGGTGTATTCAGAGCAGTTCCTGGAAGCCAGACATCACAGGTGGTCTGTTGCCAGGTTAGCTGTTTTGTTTTCAGAGCCAAGTAGAGCCTTATCCTCCCACCCTCCCGTTCCAAGGTGGCCTGAGGGTTCCTTCAGTGTCACCCAGTCTCCCAGCTCCCAAGGCTCCTGGGAACCTCTGCTCTCACCTGGATCCCAAGGCTGACTCTCTTACTCCCTTATTTTGTTGAAGCACACACTCGAACAACTTTCTAAGAAAGGATGGCTAGAAAGTGATTCCCCAGATCCTTGTAAGTCCGAAAGGGTTTGTATTCGCCTTTGCTTTTGATTGACATTTTGGCTAAGGATTCTAACAGCTCTGTTCATTGTCTTCTGACTTGCTGGTGCTGAAATCCAGGGCCCAGCCCCTTCCCAGGTCTTGGGATTGGCTCCTGGAAGCCCTTTTTTCTGTCTCCAGAAGCTTCCAGGCTCTGTCTGTGGTGTCTGAAACTGTGAGCCTCTAGGAGTGGACCTGTCTTCATTCCCCGTCTGAGCCCTCTCTGGGGACCACGCAACTCCTCCATCCACAGTGACACCCTTCTCCCACTGCTAGAATGAACCCAAGCGTGCCCCTCCTCACCAGCTCAGCCAGCTTGTGAGGAGGTGGGGGAACAGCAAGCTTAGAAAAAAGAAAAAGATTCTTATGCTACATTTTTTTTCACTCCCAATGAAAATAGCTTTTGTTGAGTTCTGTATCTGTTCTTAACAAGATTTATTTAGATTTTTAAAATTGAATACTTTTGCACAACTCAAAATTCAAAAGGTATAAAGTGTATCTAGCAACAAGTCTCCCCTACAACCGTCCCTGGCCACCCAGGTCCCTCCGTGGAGACAATCAGTACTACCAATTTCTTGTGGATCCTTCCAGAGATGTCAGGGGTATTTCGTGCCAATTCAGGTGCACATGCTTATGCACACGCGCACACACACACACACACACACACACACACACACACACACACACACACGAAATAATAAGTGTTGACAAGTATGTAGAGAAAAAGGAACCTTCATGCACTGTGGTGGGAATGTAAATTGGTGCAGCCACTATGGAGAACAGTATGGAGGTTCCTCAAAAAATTAAAAATAGAAATACCATATGATCCAGCCCTTCCATTTGTGGGTATTTATCTGAAGAAACCATCATCAATATCTCAAAAACATATTCACACTTCCATGTCCACTGCAGCATTATTTACAATAGCGAAGACATGGGAACATCTTAAAGTGTCCAGTTTTTTGATGAATGGATAAAGAAAATGTGATGTACACATGTAGTGGCATATTATTCAGCCACTAAAAAAAAAGGAAATTCTGTCATTTGTGACAACATGGAAGGACCTTGAGGCCATTATGCTAAGTGCAATAAGTCAGAGAAAGACAAATACTGTATTATCTCACTTATTTGTGGACTCTTAAACAAACAAACAATAACTAGATACAGAGAACAGATTGCTGAATGCCAGAGTTGGGGTGGGGGAATGGCAAAATGGGCGAAGAGGGTCAAAAGGTACACACTTCCAGTTATAATAAGTCCTGAGGATGTAATGTTTAGTGTGGCAACTATAGTTACTATTACTGTACTGCCTATTTGAAAGTTGCTAAGAGAGATCTTAAAAGTTCTCATCACCAGGAAAAGGAAATTCTAACAATGTGTAGTTGTTAACTAAACTTACTGTGGTCATAGTTTCACAATATTTAAGTATGTCAAATCATTATGTTGTACACCAAAACTAATACAATGTTACAAATAAATTATATCTCAAATTAAATTAATTTCAAGAACTTGATCTCTATATAAAAATCTTTCTTCCCTCCTTTTCTTTAAAGTCAAAGTTTGATAGCATACTTTAACACTGTATCCTGCCACCTGAAATTTTTATAGAAGGTACCTCTACCTTTTTGTATTAGTCCGTGAAGAGCTGCCTTATTCTTTGTTAGGTTTGCAGATCAGTTTGTGCAAATGTGTACACTTTATGTAACTAGGCCCCCAGAGATGGACATTTAGATTGTTTTCAGATTTTTGCTTTATAATTTTTTGTGTGGGCATATTGGTAGGATCAGTTCCTAGTAACAGAATTGTTGGGACAAAGTCATCTGTTGTTCATAGTAGCACTACTCACACTAGCCAGAAGGTAGAAATGACATGAATACCTATCACCTGGATGAATAGAGTGCAGTGGCACAATGGAATACTATTCAGCCATAAAAAGGAATGAAGTACTGATACATGCTCTACAGTGTGGATGAACCTCCAAAACTTTATGCTAAATGGAAGAAGCCAGACACAATAGGTCACTTATTTCATGCTTCCATTCATATGAAATATCCAGAATAGGTAAATCCACAGAAACAGAAAACTGACTGATGGTTGCCAGGGGCTGGAGGTAGGGGGGAATGGCAAGTAACTGATGAATGAATACAGAGTTTTATTTTGGAGTGATGAAAATGTTTTGGAACTAGATGAAGGTGGTAGTTGGAAAACAATGTACCAAATTGTCCACTTTAAAATGATTAACTTTACATTATGTGCATTTCTCCTCAATTTTCAAAAGGGGGCGTACACATTCATAATTTTGTAGATATTGTCCTACATGAAGGTTGTACCAATTTACTCTCCCATCAGCCTATCTCCCCATTTCTTGACTATCAGTTTCTTATTAAAGCTTTAAATTTTTACTTACAGGACAAAAATAAATGCAAGTTTACCTTGATATCCATTCATCTTAGTAAGAGAGGAAAGTCTATTTTTTTTTACAGATTTGAGAGTATTTCCTTTTCTATGGATGGTTTGTTTACATCCTTTCCGAGTTTTCCAGTGGATCATTGTTTTTTTTCTTATTGATTTATGAGAGCTCTTTATATATAAGGGAAATCACCTCTTTATTTTGAAGTTACAAATATGTTGTTTGTAGCCAGGTACAGTTTGTTGTTCATGTTTTGGCTTTGACAGTGTTTCTTTTCCATATAGACTTTTTATTTTTAATGTAAATGAATTTATTGATTTTTTTATGGTTTCTGGGTTTGGTGACATACTCAAAAGGTGTCCTTCACTCCAAGATTCTACAAACTCCTTCCTTTGTATCTTTAGTATTTTTATAATATTCCAGTATTTTAATTTTTTTACCATTTAAATTCTTTGATCCACTAGGGGGTTAAAAAAAGGGATGTTTTAATAACTTCAATGGCTCTTTGTGTTAAGAAACATCAGAAAGGAGGACACAAACTGCTCCTGGGGACTCCGTTCCTCCCTGGATTCATTGGAGGAGCTGTGAGCTGCCCTCTCATCTTTCTGCCTGAAACCAGATCTTAGCTGGAGATGGAGTCTGTTTTGGGACTCTGCTGGCCCTTGGGCTCCTTGCCCACATACCAGGCTCTGAAGCTGAGCAGGACTGGGCTTTAACCTCAGTCTCCTGGGAGGTTTTCTTCTCTGGTGAGCCCTTATCACTGAGGTGTGAGATACTGACGGAGGGACGAAGGCCACTGTGAGGCACTTTTAGAAAAAAGAAAAAGATTCTTATGCTACATTTTTTTTTCACTCCCAATGAAAATAGCTTTTGTTGAGTTCTGTATCTGTTCTTAACAAGATTTATTTAGATTTTTAAAATTGAATACTTTTGCACAACTCAAAATTCAAAAGGTATAATAAAGTGTATCTAGCAACAAGTCTCCCCTACAACCGTCCCTGGCCACCCAGGTCCCTTCTCATCCTCTGACTGTTCCAACGTTTTGAGTAAAGGAAACTAAGGTTCTTGGGGATAGTCACTACCTTGTGACCTTGATCAAATCACTTCACCTCTCTGAACCTCACGTTCTTCATCTGTAAAATGGAGACAATAACACAATCCTCATAGACTGTCATGAGGATTAAATAAGTGTGCGCAGCATGCATAAGTGTGCAATGCAGACTGTTCATATATTTATTTGGCAAATATTACTGAACACCTACCAATGCTGGGCAGTTTTAGGGGTTGGAGATACAGCAGGGTCAAAACTTAGCTACTGGTGGAGGGAAGAAAATAAATAAATAAGCAGGTAAATTTATGCATCAGAAAGCAATAAAAAGAAAGAGAATGATAGAGGGAGAGGTCAGCCAAACAGCAGGGAGACCCTGAAGTTAAGATAGTCACAATTTTTCCAGTGATGGGCACTTTTACAGGGAATGAACGTAACACTATCATTACTCATTAATCTGTTTTCTTGAGTAATTCCTGTTTCCAAGAGGTCGAGGATTTTATGGCTCCATGGAATGCCAAGTGCCCCCACGAAGGTGGCCAGGTCTGAGAGCTGATGTAGCTGTGGCTGTGTCTCTGGCCTCACCTGGGTTCTAACAGGGCTTAGAGCAGAGGGGGCTCACCTAGGAGCTGTTCTCCTGAAGGCAGGGGAGGAACACGTGAACAGGGTGCTCAGGCTGGGGGCAGACACCAGGTAGGCCACACACTCGGTCATCAACCTCAGCAACTCCAGCCTCCAAAGCTGGCCTCCTTGCCAATATCCTCAACCAAAGTCCCGAGACAGACTCTGACTGGACCAACTGGGTCATGTGCTCATTCCTGCCTCAGTCACAGTAGGGGGTGATGCCAGTTGGTAAGGCTGTTGGATTAGAGAGCCAGAAGTTGATTAGGAGTTGGGAAGTTCCCCAGACTTAACAAACTCTAGCCCGCCTTCAACCTCTGGGCCTTTGCACATGGCAGCTCCGACGCTGACCTCCAGGTGTTCACTCAAATTTCATCTCCTATTGGCCCTTAGTCTGCGCAGGCCCTTGCCACCACACTGTTCATTTGTAGGCTGCCTGCTAGATGGTCAGTCTGCTCTCCCACCGCTGGTCAGGGACTGTGTGCCAGCACTGCTTTGGGGTACCCGGTGCCTCGCTGAGGGCGCTCAGGAACCGTCCCTCCGGAAAGGGGTGCCCCGCACGCGCGCGCGCACATACACACACTCACACACACATGCCGGCCACAAATCGGGGTCCCCGCCGATCCCACCGCCCTCGCAAACCCACCTGGGGAGCGCACAGACTCCCCACAGCACGCGCGCAACCCCCGCAGACCCCGCTCGCCGTCACGGAAGGGCACGCGCAGGCGCGCGCCCGCGCCGCCCCACTCCCGGCCCCTGGCCCAGCCGGCCTCGGGCGCACGCTGCGCGCACGCGCGGCCCGAGTCCCGCCCCGCCGGCCTCGCCCGTCGGGGGCGGGGCGCGCCGGCCTGGGTCCTGCGGCACCGCCCGGGAAGCTGCGCGAGGCTGGCCGGCCGCCGCCACATCCTCTGCCTCCTCCGGGTCCAGACGAGCCAAGCCGGGCCGGGGCCGAGCCGAGGGCTCCGAGGGCGCGGGCGGAGCGCGGTGCGGAGCCATGGCGCACCAGACGGGCATCCACGGTGAGGGCGGCGGGCGGGTGGGCAGGGGGCCGAGGGTCTCCGCTCGCGGCGGCGCCCACTCCTCGGCGCTCGGCCCTGGTCTCGTCCCCGGCACCATCCTGGGGAAGCTTCCTGTTCCCTTTTGCCGCCGCGGGTCGCTGGGAGTGGGCACATCTGGGGGCGTGCAGACTTACTGTGCACAGTTGGGAGTGGGTGTACGCGTGTGTACGCAGCTGGGGCGGAAGTGTCTGTGTACCTATCGGGGTGGATGTGCCCGTGTGTGCCCATCCACGTAGTTTGTGCCTTCCTGGGGTGGGGGTACCCGGATGTGCACATCTGGAGGCGTGTGCACCTCTGGATGTGACTGTACGTCTAGGGTCTTTTATGCACATGCACTAATGGCTGACGGACGCAGGAGTGTGGAACCATCTTTAGACATCAGTGCTTCGTGACTGTGCACACATCTGTGGGTGTTTGTGTGTATGTGCACAATTTTGGTACATCTCAGAGTGCATTTGTTACCATGGAAGCATGTACCAGATGTGTCTGTATGGGGTGTGTCTGTGTGAAGAGGGGGCCGTGACCTTTGGCTCTTCCCAAGACCCTCACACACTCTCAGACTGAGGAAAACCTGGGACAGGGCCCTCAAGGAGATATATAGAGAGTTACCAATCTGACCTTGACCTTTGATCTTCCTGCCATTTTCCACTCTGACGACCTAAGTCTGCCCCAGCCTGGGTTGGAAGGTCTCAGCTCCAGGCTGGAGGCAGAGAAGAGGGTCCAGACATGGGGTTTGTGGTGGGGATCCTCGTCCTACTGACTCCCGGCCAGCCTCCTCACCCCAAGCATCTTCAGCCTCTTACCCCAAGGGCCGCCTGGTGTCCTTCTCACACAGGCTGGGGGAGAAGCACGGGCCAGGAGCCAGGTGTCCTGACCCCACCTCGGTTCCAGCATCCCCTCTGTCACTACCCTGGTACGGCTACCTGGCCTGTGGGGAAGACCCAG